ATCATTACAGGCTATACGCGATAATCATGTGTCCCAGCTATTGAGGTCTCTTAATTGACAGGCAAAAGCCTGGTACTTTTTCGCCAGAACCGAGGGGGGATTTTTCGACAAGTGATTTAATCCAAACGCCTCAGTGCAACCAAACGGAGGCAAACCAGATTGAATGTGGCATCGTCTTTTTGTGAAAGACCTCTCACTCGGACTCTTACGTCCACTTGAAGTGAAAGAAAGTCCAACTATATACGAATCGATTAGTATCTGCCGATATCTACAGTTCATACTAGTAACATCCTTAAGGTTTCTGCAAATACATGCGTCGCCAGACAACAAAGTCAACTCCTGGCCACGAAAGCCCCCAGGCGGGAGATTGTGTGCACATATTAAAGGGTAGTCTACCAAATGTATGCCAGACGAATGAAAATAAAAGTAAATAAACTACTTTGCGACTAGATAACCAATCATACATCCGTTGTAATGCGTTGTCGAGGCGAGCGGCGAGTTTAGCCCAGTCACGTCAGCCCTTGCCAATGATCACTAGGATGCAATAGAAGAGCCGAGCACACTTTTATGCCTGCAGAGGGCGCAAGGACTAATTGTCCAGAAAGCAGGAGCTACTTGAAGCCATTAGTGGTCGTCGTGTCCTCCGCTTGTTCTACCCAACTGCATCCATGCCTGGATGGCACAACCAGTTGGAGATCGACTACCTAAAGGAAATCAAGCTCTACGGCTCCACGAAGGCTGAGACGGTCTGAAGAGGAATGAACGAATGCCCAAGAAACATGGTTTTCCGTCCGGAAATTCGATCTATCGCGGAGTGCGTGCAAACACGATAAACCAGTGCGATTGGGCCCCCGAAGTCACCCTCTTAGCTCGCGTACAAAGATTGCAAAATTATGCACTTGTATTTTACATACCCAATTTCCTGGTTAAACAATTGCCCTCCTTCTCCGTAACGTACTTATGAGGCCAAAGAAAATGTTGAAATCCTGAAAAACCGGCCCCGCTCAACAGACTCATATGCACATATGCCCAATTAATCAGACAACTTCACACTCAACTCACCAGGTCTGCAGTCCTGGGGAATTTATTTCTTTGTACCTTCGAAGAATATACAGCCTTTTCTAAGTAATCACATGGCTAGGAATTTGAAAAACACAATCTCGGGGATTCTAAGAGTCGTAACCGAGGCAGCCGATCCAAGAGTGTTAGAGCGAAATTGGTGACCATGGTCACAGACTGCCAGATAAAGCTAGTGGACCTAAGACCTCTCGGGCTGAAAAGCGTACACTCGTAAAAGCGTCAAAAACTGCAGTCTCCGTGACAAACCAATTGTGAGAATTAACCGCAAGAGTTGTATCCTTTATAAATAATGTATATAAGAGATGAAGTAATCGATAAACTAAAGCCTTGGAAGGATGTATAGCAAATGTAGCAAGCCGCTGATGCAAGCATTTTGTCAGATGAAAGAAGAGCATCAACAAAAAACGAGTCTATCCGAAAAGTACCAAGAATGGAGTGAAAATAAAAAGAAGGCTATTATACATAAATCCAGAGTCAAGTGAGTACACAAGCTGCTAGAGAATGCGCCGACGGAGCAGATTATGTGGAAATTAGGCAAAATCAACTGCAAGAGCTTAGACGGCATCTCGCGATTGATCCGGCAGATGCTCGAAAGGCACAACGCGAGTGGATAATTCAGGTTTTTTCATAACAAAAAGCTAAATACCAAAGCATGTATGTGTACGTGTGCAGTAAAGTAATACTGGCGGGAATGGTTGAAAAAATAATCTTGGGCGCAGACGAGCCGAGGAGGCAATGAACGAAATTCCTGTCGATCTGTCCAGACATCCTTCCGTTTCCTCCGTTGATCTGATCGTCGCACTCGACTGACACCGACTGCATTGCGCCTGAAGCAGAGGCGGCGGCGATACAGACGCGACATCAAGCTCAAACCGATCCGGTCTTGTCTTGCAAACGGCCGACAGGCGCTCTCACCTCAGCCGTCCACCTCGGGCCCATCTTCGGGCTGGCGCAGGCGTCATATTGTGCGGGAAAGGGGGCCTATGAAGGAGGAGACGTGTGAGCAAGTCTGGAGTCGAGTGTGGGGCTGCCAGGCAATGTAGCCATGCGTGGGAGAGGCGAGAAAGACTAAACGAGTAGTAGATATATGCATCTCGGGACAGACTCAAGAACAGCCCGGGCGAATAGACATGGGCGGGAAGGGGGAAAAAGTGAGTTGACCCAGCCTCATGAGGATGAGCTGATGGAGTGGAGAAAGAGATGAGGTTTGTCGGAGGAACAGGAGAGTGAAAAGTCACTCGTCCGTGAGCCAGACTGTCGGCGGTAAACGGAGCACCGGAAGCCGCCTTGGC